TGGAGCTGGATCGTCGATCCGCGGGCAACACGAACTCTCTGAAGAGAAAACCACACCGCCGTGGACTCCCGCACCATACTGTGGAATGGAAAGAAGGACAGACCCCACCGCCCGTGGCCGGCCTGGTGAACACTGGTCATAAAGCCTCAGCCAAGAGACGACACGCTTTGGTAGGTGCCAAGGCACTGAACCCCAAAAAACCCGAAAAGGAAGCCGGCAATGCAGCAACCACTGCAATGTCCCTGGGGGGTCAAACACAGTGATAGCGAAAGAGGCGGAAGGGATGTTCTTGAAGGAACCAGAACAGCCGACGAAGTCAAACCCGACCCGGCGGGTAGACCAACATCGCAAAGTTCAGGCTCCAGTACAGTCTCTCGAGCAACTGCCGGGTGACCTGGAGCCCCCCAGAAAACGGCAAAGGCGGGACCGTAGGTGAAGCAGAGATTCCAGAGGGATCCGTAGGCGAAGCAGGGGCTTCCGAAAGGAAGCAGTCCGAGAGTCCCAAACAAGACCGAACAAGTCCGAACCTGGGAGGGGACCAGATGGGATTTCCTCCAGTTCACCAAGAACCCGAACCCGGCGAGCTGGGAAAGAACCAAATTCCTGGCGAGAAGACAAGCAGACCAGCTCTGAACCCATACCAGCCAGTCGTTGAGGTAGGCCAGCACCCGAACACTTAAAAGACGCTGACGCACTATCACAACCCGAGTTAGGCGTGTGAAAATGCGAGGTGCCAGGTTCAACCCGAATGGGAGACAACGAAAGCAGTAACTCTGACACCCCACAACAAAACCGAGACCGAGCCAGTCGGGATGTGCCAATACGCGTCCCGGAGGTCCAGGGACACCATCCAAGCACCCGGCTCTAATAGAAGCCGGACTTGGGACAGCGTAGTCATCCGAAAGGAGGGGCAATCAACCCAGAGGTTCAGACGGGACAAGTCCAGAATGAACCGCAGGTCCGCACAGACTGGAAACCCATCTGAGACGTCGTCCATTTCGACCACGCCCGAGCGAACCCACTCCAAGACGACCTGACAGATTGCAAGAGAAGAGGCCTGCCCCATCACGCCCGAGCCCCCCACCCCGAAGGAGGAGGGGGCCACCCAACGCAAGCTGACCGAAACGACCCGAAAAGCCCACAAATCGTGAGACCAGGCGTGAGCGAACACAGCAAGCCTCCTCCCCCCCTCATTATCTCGTCAATGGGACGAACCGCGAAAGGGCTGGTGCCCCTTATGAGAACTGGCGCTTCGCTCAGAGCGAACACCGCGTCAACCAGACGAAGACGGTTCCAAAGGTGGCGCCGGCTTTGAAACTAGCACCAGTGGCCTACCCCGACGAGCGGAACCCCAAGCCCTGGTACGACCCCTCCGAGAAGGCCCCCCCCCCCTCAGGACCCCCGGAGAACCAACAAATCGGACATCAGACGACAACTAGCTGAAGCTGCCTGCAAATACAGTACTGTGCCACTGCCGAATCAGCAAACAGCAAGGGACAGAAATGTGAAGACATTCTAAGAGCCAGAGCCCAGGCAGATTCCAGGGAGGAAGCCAGCACTGCCTGCCGAAACATGAGCTAGGAGGCATAAAACAGCGACACTGCATCCCGCAGGAACAGCGCAAACAGCTTCAACAAGGCAGACAACGAGCGAGCCACCGAGCCCAAGGCACTGGATCCAGGAATGGCCTCAAGCGCCTCCACATCCTCTTCCAGCCAGTCAGCAGACAGCTCCAGGAGGGAAAAGAAACGCAAGGCCGAAGCCAGGAGGCCACGAGCATGCAAATCCTCAGCAACCTACGCAGCTGAAAGGGAGGGAACCTGCACATGAAGCTGCACAACACGAACATCCCGAGGCTGGGCAGGGGCAAACAAGCACTCATTGAGATGCTCAAATTCACCCCCCCCCCCCCCAGGAAAACCTGGACCACCGTCAACACCTCACGCCACTCAAGCGTGCGGGAATGACAGAAGGTATGCCACGCCACCAAAACAAAAACGGGACAGTCCGCTAGCCAACATGACTCCGGAACCTCATAAAGAGATACAGTAGGGAAATGAAAACCCAAACCTGAACAAAGACAGATCCATAATAGAGGCATAATCCGGGTCGCGTAGGAGGTAAGCCACAAAGGCCTCCCACACCACATGAGGCTGGATGTGGGAAGCGGAACACCTCCGGAAAGGCAGGACTGAAGCACCCAAAGGGACACTGAACCAAACCCAGGGAGGGGCAGACACAAAATCCAATTCGTACGCAGAGGGGGAGAAGGAAACCCCCACTACTTGTAACAGTAAGTCCCGCTCACAGGGTAGAAAACCCCAGGCAAGGTCCAAGGCCCCGAAGTCAGCCCCTCCCCCGCCCCAGGATCCTTCACATCAGGACCTGGGGCCGAGTCATCTCCCAAAGGCCGGTGCAGCTGTAAAAGCCGGAAGGAAAGGGCCCGCTGGTCATACCCAGACGCTTTGGCAAGGAGAACCAACTCGAATGCCTCTGTTGCCACACTGGAAGGGGCAGAGTCTCAAGACCATCTAAACCCTGCCCCGATTCCAAAACCTCTCGGACGTTTCGGGGAGGGGGGGGGGGGGCAGATCGAACCAGAGCAGGGGAAAGGACGAGGAGGCGCAGACAGAACCAAGGCCGAAGCGAACACCAAGTCTGAGTCCCTACAAGCAAAACGGGGCAGACTCGGGGCTTCCGGCGCAGCAACCAATCTAGCGCGTTTCAACAACCTAAACCTAACATGCAATGCTTGTGCCGCCTGTACCCGAATAATGTCATCAGTAGATTGGGTAAACTGAGTAACCAGCAAGCAACAAAACTCGCAGGACTCTGGGTCGAAAGAGTCACCACCCCAACAGGCAGCGTGACGGAGGCAAAAACAGTGCGAGTTGCCCAGACAAGAAAACAGAGTAACCCTCGACCTCGCACAAAATGAGGCGGGACTCGGGGTCACATCCATCGGACCCGCGCGTCCCTGTGGGGTTTCCCAGGGTCCTGAGACGGAACTCACGCTCAGGGAAGCCCAGGCAGGGTACTGTTAACCGGCGCCCAAGTCTACCAACAACTTTCTAATAACTGAACCCCCAGGATGTGTACACTCATGGGGACCTAGCAGAGGGGGTACCACCTGAATAGATATGAGTACTCAGTACACAGGGGCAATAACCAATGCAGACACCCTCTACCAGGTAGGCAAACAAAAACAAAAAGAAAACCCCGCAAGAGGACAAAGTAACCAGGCGGAACAGACCCGGCCGCTATGAATAGTAAAAACAAGCTGCACAGTACCCTGTGCCCCATACCAGTGCAAACTGCCCCTACACTAAAGCAAACAAGGGAGACAACACCCTAACACACAAAGGGCGGCTGAAAATCGAGCAGTAAACGGCCAAGCTGAGGCAGAACTCAAGGAACTTGTGGATGGTGGCCCCAAGGGCAGTACTTACCGGACATCTAGAGAAGGGAACCCTAGGCACATGCAGCCCGAGTACTGAAGAAATACTCCTGGCTCGCACACCACCTAAAAGACAGTGACCACACACACAAGGCACAAAGCTGAAACAAGTCAGGAGCCAGAGCACACGACCTCTGCCTAGTGCATCAGCCTCAGAACTGGGGTGTGGATTGCCGGCACGGGGTCTGGGGGGTTCCCCTTTTCCCTTCCCAGGGAGAGACGAGCTGCACCGACAGTGGCGTGGCAACGTGTGACGTCATGCTTGTTTGCTCGTTTCTGTTTGGGGAGTTCTGTCTACTAGTTCGGCTTTTTGTAGCAATGTTCACCATAATAGGGGTTTGTTTTGGGACGCCTACCTTTCTGGGTGCCTGACCCAGTCGATGGCAGACATAAAATGCTTCCAACCACACAGGGGTTTCTATAGGCCATTGCTCCTCGTGCCTCTCCGAGGGGTGCCAGGTTCTGGCTTGTGGTGCCCGATAGACCAAAGAACTCCATACACATGACTGATGCCAAAGTCTGACATTAGCAATATCAGCCTGGATAGCTCCGGAGGAGCCGAAGAGGCTTCCTCCAGAAAAGTTATATTTTTTCCACATTGGAAACCCTACATCACTGAGCGCTAAAATTTTCTATATGTAAGTTACTTCACGTCCTCTACATTCTCACCAAATTTCATGAAAATCTGAGATGATTTGGTTTGAAAAGTCCACTTTTGTGATTATTTGGATTGGAATGAGCCTAAACTAGGAATGATGAGCTGGCCAACATTTCCCTACAACACCCAAGTCCTAAGGATGGCCAACATTTATCATAGAAAAGAAAGGGAACTTGGATGACTGGCATGCTAGAGAAGGCGAGACATTAACATTCGCACATCACCAACAACAATGAACATGGGATGTTTGACGCCGACTGGCGGCTTAGTGCGTGCACACCGGGGTTGTCGTTTCTTGTGAACCTTTTTGTTTTGGGCAATTCTTTTGCAGAGTCTATTGGGTGTTTCAATGGTATGCTTTCATGAAACAAATTGTTGTTTTGTATAGCTTCCTTTGCTTTCTAGGTGCATCTGTTAGCGAGGGGTGATTGTAACAATCCCCTGCTCCCAGTGCCTCTGAGTGAGTCAGGTTCTGGCTCTGGTATCTGGTAGACCAATAACATTCCCATGACTGATGTGGCCAAGTATTAGGACGCTAGTATACTGGCAACAGCTTCAGTGTCACCAAGGGGCTCCCCTAGAAATTACATATTTACTATTAAAAACACAAATGTTTCATCAAATACTGTACAAACATACTTTTTAATTGTTCTCCGTTACCAAGTACAGTTCAGTAGAGTACAGTAGTCGAGGGTTACAAGAAAGAAAAATAAACTGACAGCCTCAATTAGGACTTTTAATCCAATAAAAATCAGTGAAGTAGTGCTATACACCATTTGTTTACATACCCTTCAGTTTCTGTAAACGTATCAAACTGCCTTAAATGGTTGGAAATGCTACAAGAAATATAGATAAAGAAAGAACTACAACAATACACTACCACACCTCATAGACTTTGCTGGATCCTCCTCGTCCAATCAGCTCCAGCTTCAGGTATTGTTTTCCATTGACAAAAATATGATCAATTTGCCTCAGCATTTCAGATACTGGTGATGTGGTCTTAGGGTTGGCTTCCAATTCTGTGGTGTGTGTATGAATTTGTTGAGTGGATGCTTTGGAATGTTCTCTATTCTGTAGGATTCCCTTAACACTACCAGATACACTTCTATTACTAGACACGTCTTGTTGAATATTTTTACATGTCTGTGCAATTCTTTCAGATCCTGTTTTGAGTTTAGCACCTACTGCTGTCATAGAGAGCTGACCTTTCAGAGGCTCAGTGTTTCGTGAAGACTTTGAAAGATTTTTATGTCGTAAACTTGTCTGTGTTGTGCTATGGTGTAAAATTGATGATAGCCCAGTGCGCTTTAAACGAACTGATGATGATCCGGTGTGCTGCAAATCTTCTGGCGAAATATTTTTTATTGTGCCACAATCGGGACTTTTGTGTCGAGCACCGTCAATAGTCACACAACTCGATCCTTCCGTTTTTAGTGAGGTCTCCAAAGAACCAATGCAAGGTACCAACATGGCAGAATCGGTTGGAGAAACCGTTATGGATGCACTGGTGCTAGACATTGAGCTTGTGCTAGAAATAACTTCTTGTTGGGTAGTGGTTACAGATGTTTCAGAAGATAAGCATTCTCTAGTTGTTACAAGGTTGTGTATCTTAACAGAAGGGTAGGCATTGGCCCCTTCTTGCAGCCACACTGGAACTTTATTCTTATTTTCTGCAAGGCAAGTTTGCATTGGTGGCAAAACATTTTCTTGCTTGTTGCATTGTGAATTAATGTTTGTTTCATCTTCCTTCAAGACATCTTCATTGTTAATTGGTTTCTTTATAGTTTTGGAAATACTGTATAATTGAGAAGAAAAACCAGGTTCTAATTCTCGCTCATTTTCACCTGCATTTCCATGCTGAGAACTTTTCAAAGATTGTAGCTGATCTTCATTCCTGTTAACCTCAGAAGCTTTACATAGCAATTCTTTGTCAACATTATTGAGAGAGGTATAATTTCTTCTGCTAATTTTGTCAGCAAGAGCAGCACCAGGATTAGTGTTTTCCTTATCTATAGCATTACTGATGCTCCTAAAACTTGAGCTAAATGGGCCTCTGGCTGATGAGATAGACCTTTCTGTTTCCAGATATGGAATCCTCTTTGGAAAAGATTTGCTGCTAATCTCTGAAGCAGAGCGAGAATGCTTAAATTTACTGGTGGGCAAGGATCCATCGTGCACTCCATGAGTGGCCAAACCTGACCTATCTTCATGGTAGATGGGGAGCCTGTTGCTGGACACACTGGCTTTGTCTTGCTTCACACAGCTGCTGCTTCCCCATGCACCCTGGAGGAGGCTGGACTTCAGCTCTTCTGTTTTCACCTGCAACAAAAAACACAATGTAATAGCTCTTAATTGGCCTGGTCTCTCGAGATGTTCCTGTTAAAAATGCAGTGAAATAGCCTATAAATCATCAAAACCTAGACTAATGCACCTAGTTCTGAGCCCATATTCATTACTCCCTAAAAACTTTTTTTTTTTTTTTAAGTTTTCCTAAACCACTGCAATTTTTACACTGGGGTTAATTGTATAAAAAATGTAGTGTTCAATAAGAGGATAGGTTGCTTGAGTAACTAGTGACACATTTACAAGTCTTTACTGTCAACAAGGGAAATGTTTCATGCTTTTGTAAATGTAAATGTTGTTATAGTAGTGTGATCAATGAATACTAGCTAACTGGGATTTGTAACATACATGAACTTCCTCAAGTATTGCTTGTAATTGTGACTACTGGGATTACTCCTGCCAATATTATGTTTATCAATTTTAATGTGACTATGCTAATTTATTCAAGATTATAAGACATGGCCCTATAATAATTGGGATCCTCCAAGCACCTTCCCACACAAGCTTGCAATATTTTAAGGTAATACATAATTCTCAAGATTTCACATTAACCCCAATTTTGTTTAATAAAAAATGTTCATAAGGAAGGTTATTCGTAATGGGGGACATCTAATAAATATTATTTGTACATTATGTCAAGGTTGGTTTTCTTGACTATCATACTTGTGGCTACGTTGTTGAGTTAGTGGCGGTAGCCACAACAACTGTGTTCGTCACACTTAAAATTACCCGTACTAGCAGTAACACCAAAATCTAACAAGAATATTTAGTTCAAAATCTTATCTTTTAAACATTTTGTTTATATAAAGGGGTCTCTTACTGCAGTTGGCTTCATCCTGAACTCACAATCAGGAATCCTGGGTTCGATTCCCAGGTCGGACAGAAATAGTTGGGCATGTATCATTTGACTTAATGCCTAATTTAAATTTGTTAAACTATCCCCTGCTTGCCTTAACGTCTATTGTATCTGCACTCGTTCCAGGAGTTTTCTTTACAAGGTCTTCGTGCAATACTCTGGCTTTCTTACAAATGACAGCCTCTGAAACACTATCACCCACTAACTCCTTGTTGTGTATCCAAATTAATAACTTTTCCACATCCTCAAGTATTTGTGGTCTTTGTTTCGCGATTGTTGATACGCCTTTTGCCACTTTAGCACTCGTAATGTCCTTTTTCTTGGCAAGTATAGTGCATATTGTTGACGTGAATTTGTTGTACTGCCTAGCTAGTTCAACACGTGTACCATTTTCATGCTTCTGAATGATCTCTTGTCTTTCCTCTACTGTCATCCTCGCATGCGATTTCTTGCCTTGAACCTTAACACTGGCTTTCTTGGGATCCATGGCGAGATTTAATAACTTTTATGCTCAAATGGCCAAAAATCCGACAAAAAACTAAATCCTTGTGAAGAATTCAGGCGGGTTAGTCACTGGGCGCGATGCATTGGTAAACTGAGACGTGATCGCCGTGCCACAATGCACTAGATCGGCCTGTACGCGTATTAACAAACTCATAACCCGATGCAAATTTTCCGAACAAATCGGGCTCGTAACCTGAAAAACTCGTTAACTGGGACACTTGTAACCCGAGGTTCCACTGTTTGTTTTGTGCCGTTTAAGGGTTAAGCTCACTGAGGAGTATGCCAAGTTCAAAGGACTTTTTATTAATGTGTGTAAATATTAATTATTCATCATTGTAGCTTTAGTGTTTAAGTTTTTTGTTAATATTCTTGTACAGTGGAACCTCTATTAACGAGTTTAATCCGTTCTGGCACCGAGCTTGTTACCTGGAAAACTCGTCTTAAACAAATTTCCCCATTTAAAATAAAGGAAATAAATTTAATCCGTTTCACTCCCAAAAACATCCATACTTGTATGACTTTTTTTTATGTAAATATAATACTGCACATGTAAATATAAATGTTTTTTGTAGCGTTTTAATATTTACTCTACCTTATGAAGAGTCATTGCTGGCTTGAGGGAGACGATGGGGAGGTGGGAAGGAGGAGAGGGGTTATGGTGTGGAAGGAGAATCCACCTCTGAGTCAGGCAGACTCTCTCTTCTTGGGAATTTCACCCAAATTTCATTTCAAATGTCACACAAGGATGCGTTAGACCAGCACCAAATAAAAAACTACATCAATTACACTTGTTGTGTCAACAATATAATAGTCTTACCACGAACATACAATACAATGCCGTATTCTCAAATAGGCAATGTGGTTATTAAAGAAAACGGAAATTTCATGGCAAACATGTATACAATCCCCAAGTCGATCGGATAAGAATTTGATTTTATAGAAATATTTGCTCAAATGATGCTTGAGCGCGGTGTTTGGGTGCATTCAAGAGAAAAAAAGTGTGCCACGTTCAAGCGACATACCTGCGAAAGTGATAACACATTCATAAAGTGCTATCACAAAGTGATAAATTAATTAAACATTTTCACACACCGGGTTGTCACTGCTTTATCAGGGCAGCTTTTCCAAGATTCTTTTCCAAGGTTCACCTTTTCAAACATTCCAAACACTTCCTTGATCTCAGTGGATGAGGCAGCATCAGCACTTCCACTGTACTTATATTTTTTATTTATGCCCTGCACAGAGTAAACTGGTGTTTCAATTTTTAAAAGAATTGTTTAATTAATTAATCTTGTAGGTAGCAGTTGAGGGAAGAGGCCAATAAGGAGCTTCAGAAGCTACTTCCAGGAACATGAGCTTTACCAAGTGCAAGTGGTAACAAATTGGAGGCCACTGTCCATGATGCTGTACTTTATTACTCACATATTTTATTAACCCTTAAAGTGCGCATCACTTCATATGAAGTGTAAATCGTTTTACCAGTCAACTGCGCTTCACTTCATATGAAGTGTATGGGTACCGCGCACGATTTGAATGGCCCGCGGTGTAGCTGGGGGTCCCATACGCTGCCCAGGGGCTCTAGTAAACAGCGGCCATTTTGAAAAAAAATCCAGCTCACGCTCCGATGGCATGGGAGGCCTCAGTTTAGCGAGAGTCACCATGGCGAGCGCACGGTCAAACGCCTCACGAGCACGCATCACTCAGTCCCTCACCCAGAGCAAATAGCCCACGAATTATTCTCTGAAGGTGAAGAAAGTGTGTTTGACGATTCAGACAACGATGAGGATTATACACAGTTGTCGGGAGATAGTAGCAGCAGCAGTGAAAGTGAAAATGACCGCCATGCCATGGCGAGGCCTATACGCTCTCCCATGCCTCCTCGCCCATTTTCTACCCCAATTCTACCACGACCTCACAGTTCCTGTGGATATTTTCTGTTTGAGGGTGACGAGTCAGAGGGAGGTGACTCCTTTTCTGGGTTTAGTGACTCAGATCAAAGTTTTATTGAGCCTGTGGCTGGTACCAGTGGTGTAACTGGGCGAGAAATTGTCGCGTCAGCAGCATCTCGCCCAGCCAAGCGCCACCGCATGGCACCACATGAGGGACCAAGACCCTCGTGTTCACGTGCACCCACCTCACGTGCACGTAGCCGCCGTGCTTCTCGCAGACGGTATTCAGCTCCTGGTCGCCGGTATGCATCGCTTCCTCGCCGTCTTTCCTCTGCATCTCGCAGGACGCCTGGTGTACTTGAGTGGAGTGATGGTGACGATTTTATTCCTAATATTCCTCACTTTGACGATAAAGATGTAGGGATTACAAACCTTTTCCCTAACCAAGGTGAGGACATGGCTGAGATGGAATATTTTACAGCATTCTATGATGAACCACTCATGGAATACATTGTACACCAAACGAACCTGCATGCTGCTTACCTGATTGAGAGGGAAATCACAGAATTTTCACGACTGCAGCGTTGGAAAAATACCACAGTGGCGGAAATGTATGTGTTTTTGGCACTCTGTTTGTTGATGAAGCACTGTCACAAACATGCAATAAATGACTATTGGAGCAAGGACAAGACAATACCAACACCTTTATTCGGGAAATATATGTCACGAGACAGGTTTCAGATACTCCTCAGGTGTCTACATTTTGGAAGTGTTCAGGACCGAACACCTGATGATAGACTGTGGCGAGTGAGGCACTACATGAACGATGTTATTGGAAAATTCAGAGATTTTTACGTACCAGCACAGAAGCTGGTGGTTGATGAATCTCTCATACTTTTCAAGGGACGTGTTCCATTCAAACAGTACATTCCCTCAAAACGAAACCGATTTGGCCTGAAATTTTTTGTTCTTTGTGATTGTGAGACAGGATACGTGTTACACATGATTCTGTACTCGGCTAGTGATGTAGACATTCCCGGTAACGACGAACATGGATTCTCGGGGAGTGTAGTGAAGACCATCATGGCTCCGTGGATGAACAAGGGACACATTTTATACACAGATAATTACTATACAAGTCCCTTGCTAGCTCGGTTCTTGCTAGAAAATAGAACCGGATTGGTTGGTACAGTAAAGCCACAACGAAGGGAAATGCCTGTGTTTGACAACGACATTGCAGTTGGTGAGTGTCAGAGAAGGAAAAGTGATAACATTCTGTCAGTTCGGTGGAAAGACAAAAGAGAAGTGAACTTGTTGACAACAATTCATGATGGAACAATGGTGAACAGTGGGAAAGTGAGCCATAAAACAAACGCACAACTATATAAGCCAGACTGTGTTTTAGACTATAATATCAACATGCGGTTGATTGATAAATCAGACATGATGATTGGCACTGCAGAGTGTGTGCGGAAGACATGTAGGTGGACGAAAAAAGTGTTCTTCCATCTTGTGGACATGAGCATGCTGAACTGTTTCAACATGTACCTTGTGAGAACTGGACGTAAGCCCACTTTCCGTGACTTTGTATTTGATGCTGCAATACAGTTATTAGGAAAGTTTGCAAAAGATGTCCCAGGTATTCAGCGGCCCATCATAAACCCACTGTTGCAGCATGCTGGTACTCCACGCCTCGCTCACACTGAAGGCTTCCTAGCACACAAACT